CATTTTTGGCATGTCATTACAGTATATTGTTTTATCATTGGAATTCGCTTTTATATTAGTTTGTGCAAATTATTCCTCAACTTATATGTAGACTAAATGGATTTTGATGTGTGGAATTTATTCGGTTGGTGATCCATTTGATATTATTGCTGATATTTTTTTACAGTTACTCGAAAAATTTGAAAATATAGCCTTTGTTTGACCCATCAAAAGTAAGACTAAAAGTGTTGACAGAGAAACTTTGAAAAATTCATAAAAAATTTCTAATTTATATCTTTTTTTGGATCCGTAGTCTAATTGATATCTTTAGTGACAGACAGGGAAGATGGTCCCGTTAATTACTATTCATTTACAAAATTTCAACTCAAATCGCGAGTCCCTATTTATATTATTGGCTTTAACAATTGCTGATCATATCCAAATGGAGAAAGCTGTAAGCCTAACCATATCATTCTTCTTTTTCATATTCTATTATTTTGTGTCCCTCGTTTCATCTGTTGACACCCTTACACATGGGGATAGTCTAAAGTCATCTGCTTCCTTGGTTTCTGATAACAAAGTTTTCACTTTAGGATTCTACAAGCCCGAAGATACCAATAATACTTATTTAGGAATATGGTACACAGAGTCTTCGGACTATCCAAAAAAAATTTATCCGGTATGGCTTGGTAACAGAGAAAAACCTATTATGGATAATTCTGGCATTCTCACAATAAGTAGTGCTGGAAAACTTATTATAACAAGCAACACATCAGATCCTATTGAGCTGTATGCAGGCGGAAATGGCACCAATATGACAGCCAAGCTGTTGAATTCGGGGAATTTTGTAGTGATGAATGGTTCTGCAGGCGACATTTTGTGGGAAAGCTTTGATTATCCCACTGATACTCTTATTCCGGGGATGAAACTAGGTGTTAATCACAGGACTGGGAGAAATTGGTCTCTTACATCATGGTTTAACGAAACCGATCCTGCTTCAGGAGCTTTTACGCTAGAATGGGATCCTGTTACACGTAGACTGATTGTACTACGACGAGGGTTGGCTTATTGGACCAGTGGCGACTTGAAAAATTATACGGATGAGAACTCGAGATTGAATGTTAAGGAGTTTGAGAATATAGTCCCTAAACCCGATACAAATATTAAATACAATTTCACCAAAGTTTCAAATGGTGCGGAGGATTACTTCAGCTACTCCCTTTTTGATTCCGAGAGGACATCTGAACGTCTAGCAACTATTTCTGGATGGCGGCTGGAATATGACGGGGATATATATGATCAGGAGAGGGTAACGAGTATCGCACTAGTTAGTCTCTGTTATGGTGATAGCATACAAGGCTGTGAATTAGGGGAGCTGCCAAGATGCAGGAATCATAATGACAAATTTGTTTCGAAATCAGGGCATTTCGCTAATGGAGATGGACAGAGAGTGAATGCATCTGCTGCTGATGATAATGCAAGTCCTCCTGAGACTGAGAGTGACTGCAGAGAGAACTGCTGGAAGGACTGTGAATGTGTAGGCTTTACGAGTGGATATGAATATGGATGTTTACACTGGAAAGGGAAAAAATTGACTTTTGTAGAGAGCTTTGATAGTTCTGAACCTAAACAATTCGTTCTTGATCCACACTCAACCAAAAGTGAGTCATATCACCAAATCAAGAATTTTTTAACATATGCATACATTCCCTTACTTCAATTCCTCTGTTTGGGGTTCAGAATCCCCCTTTTTTTCAATAAAGTTCTTTTCATTTGGGTTTTGATTTTTTGCAAAAGAAATTCTTCTGACCTAATATGTTGAAGATGTATAAAGCGATATGCAGGTCAATATATGTACTTCCCTCTTTCCTCTATTCTTGACGTCCCGTAGAGATATTTCTCTTTCGGCATTACGTTTACTATCATCAAATGATAAATGACAGGATGGAAGACATGGAAAATCATTACTTTGGTTATTGCAGTAGTAATTGTGCTTTTGTTGGGCTGTGTATGGTTCATCATCCGAAAAATTGAACAAGGTATCTTTCCGATCACTTGTAGCTTTAAAAAACCTTCTTCATATTCCATACAAATAAAATACCTATAACAAATATCTGCGAGCAGGAGAAGAAAAGATTATAAAGAAGTTTCTATGTATTATATAGAGAAGAGAAGATTATATGCATACAGTTTGACTTCAACAGAATAACTGGGAATATGATTACAGAATACAATAAGATTCATTTCAAGAGTTGTAGTTGCACTGACATTTTTAATGTAGGGACTATTGCAATTATTATCTAGATAGACTAATGTCTAGACATATACATAAATTGTAATTTATGAATATATAACATGTGGAAGTGTAAAAACAATATCTGTACACGGTGTGTTTTGTAAATATCCTTGAGAGTTTTTAATATCCCTATTGCATTTTTATTTTGATATTTCTATCTTTTACAGTTCTAATTTTCTTAATGATCTTGATTGGGATTTTTATGTTGATGCTTTGGATGATAATCTCATAGGGAAAAGGAAGGAGGAAGAATTACGGAAAAGAAAGGAGGAAGAATTACCAGAAAGAAAGGAAGAATTCCGTGAACTGATGACCCTAGAGGAACATGATATTAGACTGTTTACATATTCATCTATCGTTGAAGCTACGGGCAGCTTCTCGTCGACAAACAAACTGGGAGAGGGTGGTTTTGGCCCTGTTTATAAGGTAAATTTGAATTGACAATATTATGTGTTTTTTGAATAGGATCAGCCCTTTGGAGCTTCAGGTAGGCCCTGATTCTTGCATCAGAGTATCTGAAAAGGCATTTATTGATAATTGCTACAGAAATACTCTTATTGCCTTTTCTCTTTCTTAACATTGTCCGAGATCTTACTTTCTTAGTTACTCTTAGGACACATCAATGTTAGTCTATGTTTAGTTCAAGTTTATAAATTATTTATAAACACTCAGATACTTTTTATCCACACATTTTAAAGGATCTACATGTAGTACCTACATATTCATTACTCATTTCTATCTATTTATGATTTAAATCATTTATAAACACTTACCATACATGTTCAATCTGCAACCATTTCTTGTTTTGATAAATATATTAGTTTTGCTTCAATAAAATATATGGCATCGTCACTCTCTTTGACAACATCTACTAATTTAATAATAAATAAAGTATGTCTTTATATATCATTACAGGGAAAAACAGTTGAAGGTCAAGAAATTGCTGTAAAGGTACTCTCCCAAAGGTCAGTTCAAGGATGGCTCGAGTTCAAAACTGAACTAATACTTATATCTAAAATCCAACACGTGAATCTTGTCAAATTATTGGGTTTCTGCATCCATGGAGATGAGAAGATGATAATCTATGACTACATGCCTAACAAAAGTTTGGACTTCTTTCTCTTTTGTGAGTACCATCTATTTCCCACAGTATATTTACTTATGACACATTTTCAAGTTACAGTGACATGTTTTTCGAAAATATGTTATGATTGATACAAAAATAAACATAAAGAGAATTTTCAATTGGAGAATAGTGAGTTAATTTTGCTTACAAACACATATTTTAAAATGGATTTTGTATACCTCGAGTTCAGAAACATAATTGCAGTGAACAAAATCTGTATTTTCTTGTATGATAAGGACAATTTTAATTTTATCTTTATTTGTTTAGATTAATTAATTTTTTACCTCTTATTAGTTTAAATATATACTATCTTATAACAATGTTTAAAAAGACTTTATCAGACGTCTTATCTCCATGAGGTGAGACGTAAGGCTCAAGGCACTTTGAGGCAAGAGCCTCAAGATAGAAAAATAAAAGAATTAAAAAGAATATAAAAATATGCTCATAATAAATTATGAACCCTTTAAAAAAAAAAACACCATAATAAAACTAATTAACAAAATTAAAAGTCTAACTTGCAACGAACATAAAATAAATCAAGAGAATAGAAGACAATAAATCCTCACATTAGTAATCATGTAACAAAATTATGACTACGATTTTTTTTCTTTAATATGATCGTTACTAATGTGATCATCATCTTCTTTATAAGTTTATTTGAAAAATGCAAGGCAAACATTAGCACGTTAGTTGGTTTGACGCGTAAGCCTCACTATGTCAAGGCATAAGCCTAATAAAATGAGATTGTAAGCAAACATTGTACATGACAGGTCCAGCTACGAGGGAGCTCCTAAGCTGGGATACACGTTTCACCATCATTGAAGGGATTGCTCAAGGATTGCTCTACCTTCACAAATACTCACGATTACGGATAGTTCACAGAGATTTGAAAGCCAGTAACATATTACTTGATGGGAACATGAACCCCAAAATTTCTGATTTTGGAATGGCGAAAATCTTCAAGCACAATGTGATAGAAGCAAATACAAATAAGCGTGCTGGGACATAGTAAGTGACAAAATAATATTTCTTTTCAAAATGGCTGCTGATAATATATGTTATATATGCTCGAGGCTCATTACCAGCGAATTAATGCTTTGATGATTTCACAGTGGTTATATGGCTCCTGAGTACGCGATGCAGGGTATTTACTCTGTCAAATCGGATGTCTATAGTTTTGGAGTTTTAGTACTTGAGATTGTGAGTGGTCGAAAAAACAATAGCTTCCACAATGAAGAAGGTCCTCTCAATCTAGTAGAATATGTAAGTTAACTTCTCATCAATTTTTAGATTCATCTCATTTTTGTTTTTCTTCATACTTAGATTTAGTGTAAAATTATTGTAGGCTTGGGAACTTTGGAGTAAAGATGCTGCATTAGAGCTCATGGATCCGATACTGAAAAGTTCATGCAGCCTTACAGAACAATTGAAAAGATGCATTCATGTTGGTCTTCTATGCTTGGAAAATCACGCAACTGATCGCCCTATAATTGAGGATGTTATATCCATGTTAAAAAATGAAATGATGCTTTTGCCAATGCCAAACTGTCCAGCATTTGTCACCAGAAATAGAACAGTTAATGAACTTGAAAATGGCAAGTCTGTGAAGTTTTCGGCTAATGGACTCTCGATGTCTGCAATCGATGGAAGATAGTGAAACTCGAGAGCTACTCTTATTAGTTACACTGAATGAGTATTCTATGATATTTCAAGTTATTCAGTAAACTATGTAGCTTTTGAAAAATTCTACTTCTGTTATTCGTTAAAGATATTTGTGTGTAATGTAATTATTGGTGTTCATCTATAACGCAGACACAAGCAAGAAAGAATAATAATAAATGATCACAATTTGTTGAGTTGTACACAATAACACAAAAGCAACCAATAGTGAAACTCGAGAGCTACTCTTTTTAGTTACACTAAGTGAGCATTCTAGATATTTCAAGTTATTAAGTAAAATATGTAGCTTTTGAAAAATTCTACTTTTGTTATTCGTTAAAGATATTTGTGTGCAATGTAATTATTGGTATTCATCTATAACGTAGACACAAGCGAGAAATAATAATAATAATAATAATAATAATAATAATAATAATAATAATAATAATAATAATAAATGATCACAATTTGTTGATTCATGCACAATAACACAAAAGCAACCAATAATTTGTTCAAAAAACCCAAATATATATATTTAATTAAAAACAACTAAGTATATATTGAAACCATAAGTCCCTATTTAATTTTTTTAAAAAAACTGAAGAAACAAAAAAAGAAGCTAATTACTACTTTGCCCTCACTCAATAAATTAAACAAGATAATAAAGGAGAATAATAGAAAGTAAAAAGAACTCGCATAATGCCACTATTGTGGAGTGTTGTTTACTTCAAAAGAAAGACTCAAGACTGGAAAGAGTGGTAAAAAGCATAATTGTTGACTCAATTTCTTATAGGTATCCAAATTTTTTTATTTTTCCCCCGAACTTCCAAACATGTTTGTCATCCGTACATAATTTAATAAATCGTTAACAATCCTCACAGTTCGATTAATCTACGTGGAAATTGACGAATTAACCCCTTTAGCAACATGATAAAATGCATTATCCTAAACTCTAACAATCAAGCTCTTTGTTTCTGAAATGCACATCATTGTTATATGGTAGCCATAATGATTCAAATAAATGTAATTTCATCTCTTGCTATTGAATTGTGATATTATGCTGTTAAATGGTGCTAAATGGGGGTTAAAGAGGATTTGTAAATATACGAGGCAACGTACATTTGACATTTTAGAGCGAATTGGTACCATTTATTTTGTGGAACATTATTAATACCAGCGGGTTAGGGTGGAATTGGAATTGTGGAACAAAGACCGTGATTCATAGAATTTAGGATAATTGATATTTATTATGTTGCTAATGCTATCAATTTTCGCGTAGGATTGAAGTGGTCGGTTAAATTAGCTATCAATGGGGAACATATTTAGAAGTCGGGTATGGATTATGGAAAAATGAAAGTTTGGATACATATAAGAAATATCTATTTAAATTAGATATGGATGAGAAATAGATTTAAAGTTCAAGTATGTATTAGAGAAAATTAAAAGTTTGGATACCTACAAAAGGCGCAGTTGGAAGTTGATGTACCCTAAGTGGATAAAGTTAAGGTTCCTCGAAATATATAAATAAAAAATGGCAATTTGCTATAAACAATTAATAAACCTGAGCCAAACATAATCTAAGATTGAATATTAAAATAATTTTACTATTAATTAATCTAGTAATAACAAATTATAAAACAAGAATAAGTATTTATTTAGGAGAGATTATTTGAAAAGTTGAAAATAACTTTTTCGAGAATTTGTGGTGGCGGGTATCGTCGTGGCGCAGCTGCGCTTCTTTCGAGCGCGGGAGCTCTCCTTTTCTGGTACAGGGGCGCTACTACTGCCGGGTGACAAAGGCTTACAGTTGGGCACGGGCACGCCTCATAATGGCTCAGGGGCGCCTATACCTTCTGTAATATTAGCACAACCTCGTCCAACACGTAGATGCACCCTTGGTTTGGTTGGTGACACTTGAACTGCTCCTAAATGATTGCATCTTCTCATTGTTGACTGTCCTACTATGAAAGTACCTGAATATATCATAAAAAGCACAAATGTTGTAGATTTCACAAATTCAGAAGTAAAAGATATCTAATAACTTCGTTATAAGACTAGCTTATCAAATACCCCAGAACTTAATAACTTGCTTGTTCTCGAGAAAACATCAAACCAAAGAAAATGAATAACAAACACACAAACAAAACTAAGACAAAAAAATTCACTTAAAACAAATTTCGTTAGATNGAACAAAATTACTGAAAATAAATTGTGCTAGATATCTTGCCTTCATAGCTCAGAATTGAAAACATAACATCAATGTCATGAATCGCTTCAAAATTATAATGTAAAAGCTCACTTCCTACCTATTCAATGCAAAACGGGTGTGATTGAAGAGTTAAGTGCAACGTTGTACAACAATAAAGTGATCCAATTTCTGACCTTAAAAATCAAAATTTTCCTTACTTCGCTCGTAGGATTCATACACCCCCAAATTTATTTTCCTTTCACTTCCCAATGTGTATTCTAAGGTTGATTCCCAATACTAATTTCTTACACCGCTCAAGTTTGATTAAATTTCACTAATCGTAGTTCCACGTGTCAACAAATATGGATTATCCTTATTTTGACTGCTTCAACCTCCAAGGCTCAACCAAGTTACTAATCATTTATCAAAAGTCTAATCTCCTAAAATAAGTATTCGGGGCTTAATTAAGGCATGTAGTACGTCTTCTGTTTTATGTGCAGATGTCTCTTCATTAAACTTTCTAAACGACCCCTGTAGCGAGCTTTAGGCCGATGACTCCCAAATCAGATGACTTTAGGGTACTAGGTTTTTTTACACTTGCAAGTTTAATCACTCGAATCATAAATGCTATGAATGGACGTTTCACAATGAGATTATCATAGTTGTCCTCATTGGGATCTTTTTAGGGTAACTTCACAATAATGCAGCTTTTTCCCTTTTATGCAGTGATAAGTGCAATGCCCCTTATTAAACACTCATTCTCGAAAATTGACCTCTAACTTAGATTTTTCACCCAATTTTCATCCCATAGGTCTCAGACAGTCCACACAACATTTAGCACACATGGAATCCACATCTACATCCATGTCTCCCTACACANGCTATTCAACTCACATAAGAATGCAAAAAAAAAAAAAAAAAACACGATTTTTTTAAATAAAGCAAATAGACAATTTATAAGACACCACCCAAACTTAATTTAAACATTGTCCCAAATGTGAAATTAAAGTTATAGAAGGGGATTTCCCTGGTGGTGATCAGTTGTCGCCCTCCTCCCTACTATCCTCAGCTGGGTAGTCCAGGAGAATCGGGGGTTGTGGGAATTGGAGCTGTGTGGATGGCTTGTGGCACGAATGTGTAGCTGCTGAAAATATGGTTTTGCAAGGATATGGATTCCATCATATAATCTAGGCGAAGATCAGTCAACTCCTGGAAAACATCAAATCTAGAGTGGAGTCGATCAATTTTGACTTTTTTTTAGGCGCGACTACTCCTCGACATGGCGTAGGGGCGCCATGGCATTTTGTCAGATTCTCCATGGATGACTTGGTGCAACTGTGCTTATAATGGCCCAGCAGCACTTGTGTATCCTGCCAAAATCTGGATAGGTTTCCAAAACGCTGTCCTATTATACTATGTTCCAAATTAATGCCTCAATGAACCTGTTCAATCAAAATAAACAAAAATAACAAAAATTAACAATTGAAATCAATGAATTAGAAAGCGAGATAACAATAATAAACATCAAAAGAGAAGAAATTAAGGTTCAGAAAACTTGGGCTGCCTCCTCAATAGCGCTCGGTTTAATGTCATCAGCCCGATGCTCCTTTTGTTTTAGCTAAGATCCGAAAGATTGATTAGAGACACGTGATGCTCTTCTTGTTTATAATAGTGCTTGATGCGCTATCCATTGACCATAAATGTTGTGTTATCTTTGCCTTTAGATCAACCGCACTAAATGGAAACACCTTTGAAATTGTGAATGGATCCGATCATCTAGACATCAATTTCCCTGGAAAAAGTTTCAACCTCAAGTTGAAAAGCAATATTTGTTGTCCCGGTGTAAGCTTCATGTTTGAACTCATCCATCTGATTTAACTGTAAGAGTCTTTGCTCTCCAGAAGCTTTCAAGTCAAAATTTAACTTCTTTATTGCACAAAATGCACGGTGTTCAAGCTCAACTGGAAGATGACATGCCTTTCCAAAACCCAATCGATAAGGAGACATGCCGATTGGTGTTTTGAAAGCTGTACGAAATGCCCATAATGCACCATCAAGCTTGAGTGTGTTGATCTATGATTTAATATAGCTCCACTTGTTTTGATTATAACAAACAATATACTTATATTTCTCACAAGTTTTGTTTCTTGAGTTTTTCATGAATATATCCTCTTAAGCATTCAACGAGTCAAATCGTCATCAGTTGAAGAACAAGCAATCAAATGAGACACGATGAGCACAAGAACAAGAACTTAGAAGATTTAAATTTAGAAGTAGTTTATCAAAATTTAAATGTAAATGTATTAACTCATTGATTCTTTA